ACCTAAGAAAAAAGATCCAGGGAGTTTTAATATTTCTTGCAGCATTGAAAATTCTAATTTTAAAAGTGTTTTAATTGATTTGGGAGCAAGTGTTAATTTGATGCCTTTTTCTGTTTTCCAGCGATTGGGACAAGGAGATTTAAAGCCTACATCAATTACACTTCAACTAGTTGGCCGTTCAATCACTTATCCAAGAGGTGTTATTGAAGATTTAATTATTAAGGTTGATAATCTTTATCTACCGACAGATTTTGTGGTTTTAGACATGGATGAAGACTTTTACACACCTATTATTTTGGAGAGGCCATTTATGGCAACAGTTAGGATTTTAATTGATGTGGAAGCTAGAACATGGACTTTACGGGTTCAGGACCAATATGTGGTGTTTAATTTGTTTGAGGCAGCGAACTGTCCTGCTGAGCAGCAAGAATGTATGCGCATTAACGTGGCAGACAGTATGGTTCAAGACAATTTTTATGCCAGTTCGACTACAGATCAATTAAACCATTTGTTGAGAAAAAGCAAAAATTGCAGTTAAATGAGCTTGAGGAAATTCGTCAAGGTGCTTATGACAATTCTCACATCTACAAGGACAGAACTAAGGCATTTCATGACAGTCAAATTTTACAGAAGGAATTTCAGCCAGGACCGAAGGTTCTATTATTCAATTCAAGGCTCAAGTTGTTTCCAGGGAAATTAAAATCGTGCTGGACTGGACCCTACCTGGTGACTCAAATTTTTCCTCATGGGGCAGTTCAAATCACTAATGAAGCTAAAGGCAACACATTCACGGTGAATGGTCACAGGCTGAAACCCTACGTGGAGACACCCTTCAACATTGCAAACGAGTCTTTGACTCTAAAGAAACCAGTGATTTGACCACCAGACTTCTGAAATGTCTAGCTACAGACTTAAAATAAAGCGCTTATTGGGAGGTAACCCAATTTTTCTAAACTCTTAAATTCTTTTATTTTCAACATTAAAAAAAAATAAAAAATTGTTGCTGTTTTCTTTAACTAGATGTTTGTATTTTCTTTCTAGTCCTAACACATAATTGATTCAATGCAGGACACAACAATCATTAGCAAGCATAAAAAGCAGAAAATCCTATGCTGGAATCATGCACCCACCAACAATTCTATACTGGAATCATGCACCCAGTAGCAGTCCTATACTGGAATCATGCACCCAGCAACAAGTCTACATTAACATCACTACATCTACACTACACTGGGAATTAAAGCAATTAACATGAGATCACTCACAGATGCAAGTTTGGGGGTAGTTGTGTAGATCTGGTGCAGACACATAATTTTGAACAGTTAAAACACAGAGCCCTACACCACAATGTTGAGTACAGCTTTCACTACCGGATCCACAACCACAAAATTTGTAGGAATTCGAAATT